CCTTTCTAAATCGCTTCTTAGCACTACAGCTAAATGTACTAGTGTTGTTTAAACACCTAAGCTGGTAGCCCTTGGCGCGAAGTGCTTCGTGCAGCGCAGTAGTCGAGTAGCCGCCGTATTTGACGTTGCCATGGGCATCACGTCCCTGCCTCACTGTAGCCTTGGTTAGACGGTCCACGATGGGAGCCACCTCGCTGACTGACAGAAATCGCGGTTTTGAACGGCATTATTTACTGAGTACAACCCTCAGAGGGTGTACTTGTCGCTTGTTCCGCTCTGTCTTTGGCACATTGGGCCGCCCATTGTCCGCCGTGTAGTCTCAACGTTGGATTGCATCCCTGTCCATGGTTTTCTAGCAGAACGCTGGAAGTGGAGAGAAACACGCACCGGAGGCACCCAACTTACGATTTGTACTGACACTTTCCCGCAGAGTGGTAGCTAGCAGAACGCCGGCCTGTGTGAATACAAAAGCGAAAGTGAGAAGGAAAGCAACTAGCTAAAATCATTGAATAAATGCTGTCCATTACTTTAGTAGTTGCAGTTGATGTGCATGAAACTACGAGAAATTCGCGATGCCTTGTTAGTGCCTAGACAGTTACGTAAAGTAGCGCGTTGGCAATGTGTGACGACAATCAACTTGATTATCAACAGCTCCGCTGATTGCAGTCCCACCAGGGCACCGAACCAGATGTGCATTTTTTCCTACCAATAAAAGTGCGTGAGCGCGGTGTCGGCCGCTGTCGGCGCCGTTACGCTATGGGATGTGGCTTCTAGTCCGTAACTGCGTACAATCATTACGGAGCCGGCAGCGCCTGTGGGCTTTGCGAGGTTACCCCGAATGGACGATATGCGCTCAGCTCGACTCTCGAGGGAATGGTGCGTCTCTGGGACTACATGTGCGATATCTGTTTATGCACGTACAGGCAAGTTCAGCATGCAGTGCGCCTTCCTGGAGAAGCAATGGAACAAGCAGTCAATTGTGGCCTGTGGATCGGAGGACAACCGTATTTTGATGTGGAATGTGGGCTCACAGGATGTAACTTCTGTCTTGACCGGACACGACCATCCAGTACTTGCACTCGCAGCCCATCCGACTCACGCACTGATGGTATCGGGCTCCAATCGAGACATCAAGATGTGGACTCCAAGTGTTGAAGCTGATGGCGATAGTAACATGGAGAGCAATGGCACAAAGGACCTATCCAAGTTCAAGTTTATTGAAAAGCCAGCTGGTTTTTCAAGAAGTGTGGTATCTGTTTACCACACAGGCTTTGCTATTGCGATTGGCTATTTTAAACAGGTTTTAGCGCTAGTTGGTCTAATTCCAATCTATTTTAAGAATACGTCGGCTTCTCAGGGTACTTAGGTATGGTCCATCTTCGAAAATAGTGGCCACTATGTTGTCGAAGGTGGTGGAGCTTAGACTGCGACGGATGTTGCCACTACTAGGATAGACGGCAACAATACTTCACCGCGGCCGCAAAGAAGGAAGTCGATTGGTACAGCCAAGGATAATAAGCTCAAGAAGGACAAGGAGTTGCCATCAGACGCATTCGTCTGTTCAATATCTCGTCGAAACCAAGCTCACGAAGCGAAAGAAGCGTAAGGGTACGGTTTTGATACTCAATCGACCATAAGTACATATCAAGGAGTAGAAATGTTACGGTGTGCTCCGCTGCGACCACGAGGGCTGCGGGGCTTGCTACTGGGACCGTGTAACGGGGTACGAACCCCAATATACCCAACTTACATAAAAAGTGACCTGCCACTCTTGTAATTCCTGGTACATGGTACCAGAGGCTCTAGGAGCCAATTATTGCATATCTACATAGCTTTACTATAAGTGACTTATAGTTTGTATTAGAAACCAAGCTAAGCTTACCTATAAATACAATCAGTCTTAAACGTACCTTTTTTTGAGTACTTCGTCCACTCAGACCAGGGACACGTGAACTGTCGTTCATTTAGAGTTTGTATACTCTTGGAAGCCTACTTCCTCAGCGCAAGGTGCTGTGTGACCCCGTCACAGACCGCGACGTGAACGCAGCAATCAACATGTTGGAGCTCTTGAGGAGCGAAATTTTAGGTTTAGGTCGCATGGAGCCCTAGTAATCGTGGAGACGAGAAAATCTCCAGACCTGGATATTACATGTGGACCACATATTACATGTGTCCCACCCAGGGTTTGGCAGTAGTTGCGATTTTGGGTAGTAGTATTATTACTGTTACTACCTGAACATCATAATTGTACAATGCTACAGTAGTAGTAACATTAGAGAGTTTTGACTACTATAGTAATACTATAGAAATAATATTGGTACTATTCCACTCTTCTAAGTACGATAAGTTCTTGAACGCTTAGACACCAAATAAACTAGGAATTGTTGAAATCCATTGATACAAGGACCACACTTACTAAACCTTCCGCGTGCTCTCCTCAATTCGCCGAATCTCCTTTCGATTATGGCGCAAAATCAACTGTTGCTGAGCTCGTTCATTGTCCGTCTTGGTTCGCAACTTACTCATTACGAAGTAACCCGTAGAGAAGACTCGTTTCTGGAACGCTGTGGAACAACCCCACCCCAGCCAGACGCATGCAAGTTTTGCGATAGACGGGTATTTCGCTTGTCCAACCTCATTGAACCAACGGCAGATATCGATTCTCCCACACAACTCTTCAACGTTCCAAACACGAGCGTTGTGCTTTTTGCTACGCACAATTACCTTCGACAGTATCTTCTTGCTCTCTTCTTCATCCGGATACTGCGTTCTAACGACATCTGCCCAGTCCACTCTAAGGCTTAGCCACTCTTCCAGTAATTCATCCGCTCTCGCATTCATGAAAGTCTCAGCGTTGCTGTCTTCGATAGGCTGTGAAACTTCTTCACCGTATAGTAATTCGGCTTCAGTGTCGGAGCTGCTGTCTCCATCGCCTGGAGGTGAACTGGACGGTTGAGCAACACTGCCTTCAACTTGCTGGAGTACGTTAGTATTGAGCGCCTTGTAGAACACGCGGTGCTCGACACGCATAAGTGCTTTTGCCTCATCCAGGATATTGTCGGCCGCCGTATCCGTAACATTTGGAACTCGGAGAAATTTTTGGCAGACGGTCGTGTACGAGGGTCTAACGTTAGTGACATAGCCATCGTTGTGGATGGTTTCTCAAGTCGTTCAAGAATTTGATGAAGGGTGCGCTTTATGCAACGTTGAGCCAACTCGGACAAATCCGTCAACTTGATTTCAACACGCGGGAAATTGTTTTCGTTCGAATCCATGTCGCGAGCACCGTCAAGGGCGCAGGCCGAGAACTTGTAAGAGTTCATTCTGGTAGAAGCAACACGTAAAAGCACGAACATCGTCGAGGATAGAACGGTTGCCGATTGAGACTCCACAAGCGCTAGCTCAGCCACACGATACAGTACTGCCTCCAATTGAACAGCTGGGGGGGGGAGCTCCCACTCGGCTCGCGTTATACAGTTGAACACACCCGCGTCACCCGACGGTGTATTTTGGAAGAACGCTTGAAATGCGGGATAATTGATAATCGAACGGCGAAACACCTTGATTGTGGATGCAACCCGAACGTCGACGTCAACCAACGCAGCCAACACAGGTAGTTTGTGGAACTGTTGATCTTGTTTGAGACGGTCGATCCGTTCCGATGATCTACTAGAAACGAAGAAGTTGTTTAAGGCGCGTAATTTTTGGATTAAAGCACTACCTTCAGGAAAAGCGCCACCCATCGTCACCACTACCCGCTTCTTGACAAACGTTTGGCTCTTCGGGTCGAGCACGTAGTCGTTTCGTACATTTTCTTTGAGTCCAATACCGTAACCAATACATAGATTTAGTGCGTGCATCGTGCAGTCCGTCTGTAATGTAGAATCGAATTGCCTCGATACTTTTCGAGCAGTGGACGCTGTATCCGAAACCGTGAAGCGAGCCATCTTGTCCACATCCAAGCCATATCGAACTTTCAGCTCCTTATCCAGTACAGCGGCTACCTCTTCCGATGTGTGCCCGTCATTTTTCACTTGGGCAAGCATGGCTAGATGCCTCGGCCGCCAGGTATGGTCAATGAAGCTACACGAAGCCCCCACAACACAACTCTTGGCAGCGTTCGTCCAAAGGTCGTGCTCCACATTCATGAAAGGGGTTTGAAATACCTCCTTGAACTCTTCTGAGATCAGCGCAGCGACGTTCTTCTTGAACGTAGAGTAGTGATTGTCCAAAATGGCGTTGTACGTCCTGTGGGGCGGAATCGTCACATCCGACTTTCCTGTAACACCAGCAAGGAATTCCTTAAATGCCGGCGTTGTAGTCAAGTTCCGCGGCAGTCCGTCGTGAATCAACCATCTCACAATGTGACCCGATACCTTATCTTTGGAAACTGGAGCCTCCCAACTTAACTTCTTCTGACGCTTGTCAGGTTGCTGGGCATGATCGTCCGGCTCCGCAGAGCGTTTTGCTTCCTCTTTTGGGCTCACCTTGACCTCCAATCGTTTTGTTCTGTTGGATCGGTGCTCCTGTTCCTTTATAGCCCATTCGTGCTCGCTGTGTATTGACACTAGATGGTCCTTTGCGTTGGACGTGTGTCTTGCTCGGCAAAAAGATCCTTCCACTCATTTTGCTGCAAACAAAGGAGGCATATATGTGTGTACTCTGTCCCATTGTGCATGACCGTCTCCTCGAGGCGATGCACGTAGTCCCAGATCCAGTTTGTTGCGTTCTTAGGGCGGGCGTGGATAGGGATATCTGTAGCTATCTCGGCTCCGTTGTCAGGCTCGGCTTGTGATAGGTCTATCACTGCATCTTGGCTAGATCGTGATATATCCGAGGTGCTACTTGGTGTAAACTCCTGCGAGTCACTGTCAGTAGAGAAGAATTTCCGAACACACTGTCGACTGCAAAACCTACACGCCTATGCTGTTAGATCTATCCAATTGATTTACTTGTAATGCTCTCACCGTTTTGAGAGCTCGCCACCATCGTAGATGTCGTTGCTACATATGTGGTGCACTTGACGTCCGCACACGCTGCATGGATCAGTTTGAAGGACCTCTCCCCATTCACAATCGACCTTAGCACACTTCATTGGCTTCTTCTCTCGTCTTCCGCGAATATCCCAAACTGATCGAAGTGTACCATGAAATCTGGGGGAGCCACGAGAGCCACAAATTGCGCACCCTTAGAAGATTTCGCGCTTGTTGAAGTTCGATATCAATGTAGTAGTTTGAGTAGTAATATTATCACAATTTTTTCTACTACTTTACTACTAGTGCTATTAGGCCATATTTGTAAGGGTTACCATTCTACTACAGTACTTGTATTAACGATAGTAGTAATATCGCTACTATTTTAATGTTACTGCCAAACCCTGGTCCCACCAACTAGGAAAATGTATTAATATCGATGCTATTTTCAACCTTTCACCAGGACCCGTTTTGGCGCTTCTGTCTATATGGTTAGTACGCTGCGGATTGTTGTCAACGCTTACAAGAAGATATCTCACTCGGGTTTTCTTGAACACTACCACGATGACGACTCGAACATCAACCACTTGGTTCACGAAGGTGATTCGCACAGGAAACTCCCTACGAGTTGAGCAGCGTGGTCATTACTCCGCTGAACGGCTCATTGCTCTTCAAAAGTACAGCAACAGTGTTACTTCTACGGAATTATTGACGCTTGTTCTGCTGACGCCGCTACCGTGCCTGTTTGCGATCATCCTCGCAGATGTCGCTCCCTTGAATCCACCAGAAGCTGGTACCAACTCCAATATTGTTTTCTGGCTTCGGTCTTACTTGATAATATGGCTTTATACGCTGTCATTTGTCGTACAGTTTTGTGAAATGCTACCCGTATTGCCCATGTCTCGAGCACACCGACTTGGTATTACATTATTTGTCAGCTGCGGTGTTATTACGGGTGCTTACACGATGTCTCTTGTAATCGGCTTTCCGGTTCCATTCCTGATGGTTACCGGTGCTCCCACCTGGATAGTATTACTTTTGGGATCTTTCGCAATAAGCTGGAGGCATCACGTTCGTGGCAATAGTGCAGTGCAGACACAGATTGTTAATGGACTGAAAATGTTTGTGGTTCAAATGTCAATGATCGTGATATACCCATTTTACATTTACGTGTTTACGACACTATCGTCAGTCGAGCAAGCTTGGTTTTCACTGGTCTTGTTGATTATCAAACTGGCGATCAAGAATGGGATTAGCTACTATATTCGATCCAATACAGACATGCAGCCTGAAATTGTAGTCTTCAACGTCGATGTATTCAACGCACTTTTCGTATCCTTCTCTATGCAAAACTCAACTTCAAAACTCACGGTCATGGTCATAATAATTGTAGACTTTATACGAATGGCGAGTTCGTTTCGTGAAGTGATGCAGCTTGTACAGGAGCTCAAGAGGATTGAGAATCACATCAGTGTTCTCAAAGCTGTTGTTCATAGAAATATACACGATACCAGAAACGCGCTGGCTCGTGCGTGCAGTATTGTAATTCGCCGTTCATTTGCCTCGAAGAACCTCAAATTGCGTCGACTTTCAACGAGAATAGGACCAACACTTCAGATCAAGCCGTTCTTTCGAATAAAAAAGATATACCCAACTCACGGTCCTACTTTACCAGCGAAAATGGAGAAGTCACCGGAGTCTCGAGCACCCGAACCTTACCACGGAACCAGCAACTGTTACAAATCTTCTTCAGGCACACAAACTCAAGACAATTTGATCTTCATGGAGAGGTTATACGCGAGAAAGGTGTTAAATCTGTTGCGTCTCACGGAATTTACGATCCTCGTCGAGTATATCGAGGTGGTTGTACCAATTGTCTACTGTGAGCACATTACGTTAGCCTTGCGATAAGCTGAAATTGTGATCATCTAACTGTTGGTGAAATGTGTCACAGCCATCTACGTTGTGGCGATGTCGTATTTTCCAAATCGCATATACTACACCCAGCTTGCCCACATGGATGCCGACAAGCTTCAAAGCACACTATCGAACGTGCTTTTGTACAGTTTTCTTGAGTTCATATCACTCGTTGTGCTCATTTTGTTTCTGCGAAGAACGGTGGGGTTCTCGCCTGCGAATCAACTGGCGTTTGTACTCCGAACTCAATGGAAAATGGTACAGTCCAAACTGGTGCTGTGGGTGGTTTACGTTGTGCAGTCATCACTTGTGCATTTCGGTACGCATACGTAACTCGTTGAGTCATTTGTATGTGTTGAGTTTGATGTTATGGTCAATTCCACATTCAGGTGCCGACTACAGTTTTCAATTTGCGTGGCTCAAAGCTAATCCAGCAACAACTAACAAATAATTCATGATAATCTCAATGTCTCTTGTAAAGAAGTTTTGTGTTCTTATAGAGAGTTTCAATAGAGCAAATCTGCCCCAAATCGATCGATGGTGGTGCTGCACCACAATGAACTAGATCGCACTCTCTGGGGACCGGCATCGACTGCCGGTCGCTCGCGAGGCGCGGACATTGCTATCTACACCCAGCTGGTAGCGCTCTAGTCTCCTCCTGTCTCTTTACCCAGGACTACGGTTGACACGCTTGTCTGCAGGCTGTGGTGGTGGTGCTCGGTGTAACTTGCGCATTGGACTATGATAAGCCGGAGGCAGTGCGACTGGCAGCAGCAGGGGCAACACTGTTGGTATACTTTCGCAGCACTGGGCTGGTAAGTGAATTTGAGCTGTATAATCTGAGTGTCAATTGACCGAAAAGCTGACGTGGAACAGTTTGTCCGCTTGATGTTGTTTGTGTCCGCCATAGTCTTCTACGGCGACATTATCATCCCGATTATCCGTCTTGCAAGAGGTAACGAAGTTATTCCTTTGCCGACGACCAAGCTGATGCTGCACTGCATCTGGGTCTGGAACACGGTGAGCTCTAACTATCCTGTCAATAGCTGCAACGTAGCGCTGACTTCTGCGTTTGAGCTCTCGATTAGCTTCGCATCTTGTTTGCAATCTTCAGGTCGGGAGCTCTCAGGTCAGGAAGGAGAAAGAAGCATATGATACCGAGTAGAATGCGTCCGAAGGTCGCGTAGGCAGGCACTATAAAATACTTTCATTTACACATCAGTCTTATACTTAACGTTTATTTGCTAATGCTGGTTGTTCTGCTTAATGAGGCTACAGCCCGTTAGCTGAGACGGCGGAGATAGCAGCCGTCGTGTTAAACTCACTCCCCAGGTGGGCTCAGGCGGTTGTGCAGACAGGATGCTTTAATGGTTCGTAGAGAGCCCGTACTGGTATCTCTATTATCTACTGTTATGTATTGATACGGGCCACTTCCATCAAGTCAAGTTGAAGTGGTCAAATTCCATCCACCGGTTAGTTCTTGCAGCAACTCAAGCGCTGCTGCAACATTAATGCAACATAACTTTGAAATTGCCGCGACAAAGGAAACAATCACTCTCATTCCGCATCCGCAACTAAGTGCAGAGGCAGAATGCGGGGCGGGCAGTTCCTCTTCCCACTCTACGTGGAGCCAGAAGATGCTGCTGCAGCGGATGCACCTGAGTCGCTACATCCAGTCACCTCCAATCCAGTGGCAGGTGACGAGCCTTTCAACCCGCAGCGGTTGGCGACGCTCATTCGCTCTTCAACCACCAACGCATTCGGGTACGACCAAGTTACAATAAAACCTATCTTATACTTAACGTTTATTTGCTAATGTTGGTTGTTCTGCTTAATGTGGCTACAGCCCGTTAGCTGAGACGACGGAGATAGCAGCCGACGTGTTAAACTCACTCCCCAGGTGGGCTCAGGCGGTTGTGCAGACAGGATGCTTTAATGGTTCGTAGAGAGCCCGCACTGTGTAGTACTGGGATCTCTATTATCTACTTCGGTAATTTAACATTTCGTTTGATGGTTGGATGCGGTTTAGCTGCTGGGACGATGTCATCTCCTAGGAGCAGGTTAAAGCGAATTTCGGAACAGCGGAGGGAATCAGACAGCAGGAGACCGCGAAAGAAACGATCACTCAATAGCGGTGTGGGTCGTGATGGCTTGACAGACGAAGAATCTAGTGAACTGCACGTTGGTTTGTATGAGCTGAGTGTGGAGCTAGGTGAAAACCCGGAGATGGAAGACGATGAAGAGCTGCCAATGGTTTTCACCCAGGCTGAGACCACTGCGGACAGCATTGAGAAGTATGCCGAGTTGCTGGAGAGATTGGTTGAATTGGCGGTAGATCGACAGCAAGCGATTGATCTTGAACCGAATGATGCAGATGTGTTTCAGCCCGAGGAAGTGAAGATATTGCGGCAGTCGCTGAAAGCCATGACAAAAAACAACTGGATTAACAAGCTGGAGCCAGAATTGCTGATCTCGCTGATGCGCACATTCGATACACAGGTGCGACAGGGCCTAGCCGTGGATGTGTTGGGCGCTGAACTATCGCCCAAAAAAGCAAAAGGAGAAGCGCAGATTGATGAGCAACTGGTTCAGAAGCTCTTAGCATCGCTTGATGTAGCAGTTTGTGAGCTGATCGTGATGGCAACTCCTCAGATTGACAGACGAATTCTATCAGAGGAGACTATTGAGAACTGCTTTCAGCTCCTGCATCACACTATACGGTGCCTACTGCTTCCATGCATTGACACGTCATTTGTGACGACTGCATCTGCACCAGTAGCAAAAGAAAACGATGGAAGACAATCAACTGGCCGCAAAAGTCGTGGTTCCACTCGAGTAAATCTGCGTGCGAACAAATACGCTCGCAGGGCCGTCGAGCGAGTTTCTCATGTTGCGTGTGAGTTTATGGACCAGCTTGCTACGCTTGTTTTAAGTGTAAAGCTCGCGGATCGATGGATACTCCGATTGTCTTCGTCGATGGTGGAACTCTTTGCTTTAGATTACAGTTCGTTTGCCACGTCATTACAGCAAAGCGCATTAGGCATCTTGCGGGGTATATTCTTTCAGTACAAGCCTCATCGTGAGTCATTACTTGGAGATATTGTGGAGATCATGGTGAAGCTTCCTACTACCAAACGCACGCTTAGGACGGTAAAGTTATTGAATTCCAACGACACGGTGCAGCGTATATCAACATTAGTGGTGTCGATAATTCAGTCTTGTGCTGCTGCTGCTGGGAACCGTGGAGCGATGGAAACTGAGATGGACGTGCATCAAGATGTGACTGAAGTATCGTCAACTTCGGATACTGTCGCTGAAGAAAAGTCTCAACACAGGGGTGATGTGGTTAGAACAACATTGGACGATGCACGAAACAGTGCCAGGTCATTCATGCGGATGCTGCTAAAAGCATGCTGGAAGAAAACCGAAGAACGTGATAATCGCGTGGTACTAGACAACTTTACTGAAGACCTCCTCCTAATGTTTGTACGCCCTGAATGGGCAGGAGCAGAAGACTTATTGGAGGTGTTGAGCTCCTCGCTGGCAAGCATCCTACACGCAAATATCGCTGCAGACGTGAAAAATCCGGATTCTCATCGGAGCTTGGCAGCGTTGAACCTGGTTGGAAAAATATGTGCCTCCATTAAACGGTATCAGCGCGAGGTTGGTCGAAATGCCGTGAAGGATGATAGTGGCTCTATTGCCATCATTGAAGAGCATACAAATAACTTACGTGCAGTCCTAGATTCCAAGGGAAAACGCTCCAAAGGAGCACTGCTAAACTCTTGCGACAAGTTGTTTGACGAGATTACGCTGAAACACATTGTTGTGATGCACCTCCAACGGCAAAAATTTGGTCACGACGATTCGAAGAAGGTGCTTATCTTGAAATTCATCTCGGAATCAGAAGCTCATCGGAGTGGAGCTGATTCAGCTTTTGTACAACGCGAAAGGAATTTGTGGGAGTCGTTGTGGGGAGCGTCCAAGGGAGGTGTGAACTCGACATTTAAAGTGGCTCCCCCCACGATCGAGTTAGCGCTGAAATCCAGTTTACAACTTGCTGTGAAACGTGGATTCTGTGGTCTGTTCGACAAATTACTAGCTCACATTATGGCTCTGCTCTCGAAAGGAATGCCGAGTCTTAGAGCACGAGTTATGAAATGTCTGAGAGTAATTGTCGACGTCGATCCAATGCTTATGGCAGAAGCTGGAGTGCAGCTAGCCGTTGAGAGATGTTGCTCGGATGAAAAACCTTCAGTTCGTGAAGCAGCTGTCAATTTAATTGGGACTTACGTCCTGTTACAGCCCCTCTTGGTACGACAATTATCGTTTTCAACTCGTTCTAAGCTAATCACTATTTCTTGTATCCAGTTTGACAAGTATTTTGACGTGCTTGCTGAAAGAATGCGCGACAAAGGCATCAAAGTTCGAACAAGCGTGTGTAGGATCTTCAAAATAGCGATTTCCATGCAAGATCCGTCTGGCAAGACAATTACTGAAAAAGAGCTTCGCCGTAAAAGTGCTTGCATGCGATGTCTGGTGGAACGAGTTGGACATGCGGCTGAAGATCAAGCTGTCAAGAATTTCATCATTGATACGTTTCAAGAAGTTTGGTTTGGTAGCGAACTTACATCCTCCAGACTCTCGCACCCGTTTGGTGTATTTGGTGATGAAAACGCTCTGCCACCTGGTTGGACCGCTGCTCCAGCCAGAATCCATGAAAAGGATGATGCCACGACAGAGGAAAGCGCCAAGTTTGTTTCCGAAGATGGTAGCGTCGCCAACTCGGTGGAAGAAGCGTGGTCTTCGTATCGAACTCCTACCGTTACTCCATCCACTTTAGTAAAGAGCAACGACTCGAAGCTGGACACCAGTTCTGAAATTGTTGCAACCATTGTTGAGGTCATTCACGGTGTTCCAAACCTAGGCTGGTTTGCGGAACTGCTTAAAAGACTGTTGGGAGAACGCAATCGAAAAATGGGGGCACACTCGACAAAAGATCGATATTCTCAAGTTGCAATCGCTGAAGATCGCTCAGGCACGATCGTTGATCGTCTGGTGGAGTGTCTAATGGGTTTACAAGAAGGCAAACTTCTCAAGGGCGTTTCGATAGAGCAAGCGCACGAGCAGTTTGTGGCTTGCATGACTGCTCTATCTGCTTTTTGCGAAGCGAAGCCCCAGCTTTTGGCTCGCCACCTCGAAACAATTCGCGTATACCTGAAAGAAAAGGATCTCAAGATCCAAAGTTTATCGGTATCGATGATAAAAAACATCTTGGGCGTCAAGCGAGTGCCGCAGACTTTTGCTACGAGATTAGAAAATGATTTGAGGCTTCTAGTGCTAAGCTCTTCCCCAAGTGTTGTTGGTCCAAGTATCCAATGTCTCGCAACGCTTTCGACAGCGACGAAAAAGGTGCCGGTATTATTGCTCGGCCTGCTGGAGAAGTTTTTGTTCTACATACACAAGTACAAACAGAGAACGTCGCTCACCGATTTGTCGGATCAAGACAATGTTGTGCTTCAGCGGGCATTGTTTGTCGCCGGGAAAATAGCTGGTTCGACGGACATTGATAATTGCCCAGCACTTGCAAAAGAAGCGAAGGTGGTCACGATTGGAACTATTACAGAATCTCTCTATGAGCTGTATGCTCAATTTGCCCGAATGCCAGGGAACGATACATGCGCGGCAAAAGCTGTTCAAGGAATGGGATTCCTATTTCCCATCCGGCCGCGCTTGTTTCTCCGGGCACAGCAAGATGGCTTGTTAAACTATCTCTTGACGGCAAATACTCGAAAGGCGAAGTTGCAATGTCTTGTTAGTATGAAGGAGCTATTGCTTTCCGAAGAACAACGGTTGGACAAAGGCGTGGCGACTCGAACGATGAATCAATCAAAGAGCAAGGAGCAACAAGTTCAAGGAGATCAAGAAGCTGACGCCTCTTTAATCGGCAATGTCATGCAGGCAGAGCTGGGAAACATCTTGCAGCTATCACTACAGAAGGTGCCACAGATTCGCAAAGAGGCCATCGCATGCATTGACGCATTACTTACGCAAGGCTTGGCGAATCCGTTTCCGTGCATTCCGAACGTGGTGGCACTTGAGACTGATCGCGTCCCGGATGTTCGGGATGCGGCATTCTCTCTGTTGTTGGCGTTGTACGGCAGATTCAGGACCCAGTTCCATACGCAATTGGTTAAAGGGGTCCAGGCCTCGTACTCGTTTCAGCTAAGTGTGTATGGCGATGCCACAGCGCTCGGAATCGACGAGAACGAGAAGGCTTATTGCCTCTTTGGACGACTGTACGCGAATTGCGTCAGCTCAGCAAAATCGCATGGATTTCTTCGGGCACTAATGAATCAGTTTACCGACCAGGGGAGTGTACTGCAACCACTGAAGAGCAAACCGCTTGCCACTAACAGCAAGACCTTCACGACCAGCCTGAAATATCTGTGCTATCTAGCACAAATCATTTCAACGCTGCCCTACGAAGTGGAGGACGAGCCGCTGTACATTATTTATTCGATCAACCGCTACGTAAGCCTTCGACTCGGGTACGTATTTATCATTCGTGACATCCCTTGTATTTTGGTTTGCTGACAGTTTTCTTCTTGGCTTAGCCCCGTGTTGGACGATCTCAAGAAATCCTTTGCCGAAGCGGGTGTGCCACAAATACTACTTGATGATGATGAAGCAGACCCCTCGAGGATAAAGATCGATGAATATCGATTGCGCCCGGTAGCCGACTCTATGCTGACATCGCAGGCTAACAACGCACGAATTTCTTTCGCGATTGCGCTGATGCTTCGTCTGAAGTTCACGCTCAAGCGGAACTACAAGCTCGACAACGAAAAATGTGCTACGTACAAACCATCGTCCACAAATGCTCCAGAGGAGGCGAAAGAACGGTCTCCCAAGAAACTCCTACTGCCTTCGGTCGATGATTTGTGCCAGACTGACGATCCAATTCAGATGAACTGGAACCTGTTAATGGTTGCCTGGTATGCGGCCCGAGAGGACCAGAAGCAGTTGGATATCGACATGGAAGCAAATCAAAAGCCTAAGGCTGCTCCAAAGCGAAGACGCCGTTCAATCAAAGACTCCTCCTCTAAGAAACCGAAGCTGCAGGAGAACGCGAGCGAGGACGAGTACGTCGAAGGTTTTGATTAAGTGTGGTTCCTTTTTACGGCAACTAGTTTTGAGTGAAATTTGCGAGTTATTTGATCTTTTTCACCTTCGTCTACCATATTCTTCATCATGACTACTCTTGAGCATATGCAGACTCGACATTCCATCCGCAGTTAGTCGTCTCCGCTTCACATCCAGCGTACGAAGAAATACGCCTTCAAAATCTGCAAGCGGTGCATTGTATAGTGTATCCAGCGTCACCACGGGATCTACTAGTTCTAATCCATCGTGGAACAGCTCCAGCAGTCTTGTAAAACACCAGAATCGTTCGGCTTCTTGTGTCAGAACTTCGTACACCACTCGCGCCACGCTCAACAAGAAGTCCGGGTCGTCCACGCCGTATAGTAACGGCGCATCACACGCCGCAATTTCTCGCCGATACGTGCGATGCAAATGCACCAATCTCTTCAGCTCCTGAAGCGAAGGCGGCGGCGCTGTCTCTTTGTCGATTTCCTCTCCATCTCCTAGAAGCTCGAGAAAATCGTAATGCACGTCACTTCCTTCGTCGCCGTTGGTCTCATCTTTCGTCTGAAGAACTTGAGCTGCCTCCACAACGTCCTCAAACATGGCGCGTCGTTCCTTTAATGCGAAACTCCAGATCCCTGGGTACGGCGGTATGACCCCCACAAGCAGCAGCCATATTCTTGCGCGATATTGCGGCGCAATGCCCAACTCCAGCGCCAATTTCAGCAGCTGCGGCACATTCACCGCTCTCTCGCTAAGTAGCGCCGCAAACGAGGCATCCACATCTACAATGTGTTGCACCACGGGCACGCCCAGCGTCTTGTAGTAAGTCGTGCGGAAATTTCGGCTCAGCGCCATCTTCTTGAACAAACAACCCAAGTCATTCCTTTTCACTTTTATGTGTTGTCTAAAGTGCCAAATGATGGTGCTATTTGCTCGCAGTAAGCTTATTTTTCCAGTAGTAGTGGCTTCGTTAGTGACAACATCTGGCAATCATGAAGGAGCACCAACTTCAACTCTTTCCATGTTTTCTGCCGCCAACTTAGAAGATCCGTCCTTATATTAGATCCCATTCGTTTGCAGAGGAAGAAGCCTACCCATCTGAGCTCCGATGGTTGCGTCTGTGCGGTCGCTCAGCCCCAAGAAGCGCCAATGGCTCGACAGTCTCAGCCTGTCCAACAACAAGAGCAGTCGTCGCGTCAAGCAGCATCCGCGTCTACTTCAGTGTCGCGCAAGCGAGGGCTCCGCTGGCGAGACAGACTGCGAGAGCCTCGGCCCAGACGACGATGTGGACATGGACGACGCCAACACTGAGCCCAAGACGTTTTCCACCGATATTCAGACGCTGCCCGATGAGTTGCTAGCTCTTGCGCTCGCTCAGCTAGACGGTCGCTCGCTGTTGGCATGTGCTTCGACATGCCACACCTTCCGCTCGTTGACGTTCGACCGGGAGGTCTGGAGGAAACTTTGCATCAAAACCTGGCCGACATTGAGAACCCAACTGCTGCCACAACTACCGGGAGCTCCGGACTATGATGTACGCTCGAAGTATTGTTTTGGTGTTTGTTACGACCTCTGAAAGCTGAGATATTGGAATTGTTGTGTTGTGGCTTTTGTGTAGCTTGTGAGACTTTACGGAGGCTGCTGGAGACGCTGCTTTGTGGAGAAACACGCCAAGGAACAGAGAGCAGAGATATCGGTCAAAGTGCCCAATTTTTCGGACGTGGAAGCCATGAGAGACGTGGAAAAAGTCGTGTCGGATACATTCAGTATCGGTGCACATCGCTTTTGCCTCTGGGTTTTTCCTAATGGCAACCCCAATGAGGCGCAGTACAAAGGCCGCGTACTCAGTGTGTACCTCGTACTCACGGATTTATCGCTGCGTGCTCCGGACTGGCTCACGTGCGCCGTATTCTCACTACAAGTGCAGAATGCTCTGGATCCAAGACGTCGACTCGAGTGGCATTCGTGTCTGACAGACAACAAGTTCCACCAACACCTCAATAATTGGGGTGTGCACTCACTCGGATCGCTTAATATGCTGCGAGACCCTCAGCAAGGCTTCCTAACTAGCTCAACTGGGGACCACACGCAGCCTGATACACTCACCGTATCAGCTCAGGTACGACTCATGTCCATTACGTTTCGTGTGGTATTTGAACATGATCTCAGAAAACATCATCAGCTCGGTCTAGTGGATTTTTCAAACGTGGCCGAGCTAGAGTTGCCGTTTTGCTGCTCACTACGTGACTTGCTAGTGGCACTACATGACCAATTTTCCGACGTGCTTGGACAATACAGTGAAGAAGATACAGCTACGAACAAGACGCGGGTGTGGTGTTTTAATCAGCCAGTGGTGTCAGGGCAGGCACTTCGACCACGCAAACTGCTTACTTGCGACAAATCTCAGCAAGATCGACCGCTTTTCGGACATTTGCTCTGTGACGGTGTGGATATTGACGCTTACTCGTTCTGCCGAATTTACGTTGAGTGCAGTTCAATGCCGAATGATCTCCCCCTGGATCTACACGCTTGTGAACTTGAAACTGCAAAAGATTATATGGAAACACCGGAAGGATATGTTTTTGTGAAGATACTGCAACCAGCTCCTACCAATCGCCTAGAGTACGTGGGTAGAGTTCGTGTTTTTGGAGCATCAACACCTGAAAACACGGGCAAGCGTGAAAATGGAAAGCTGGCGCCTAGTGCAGTATACGAGGCTGTTGCGCGACATACAGGTTGGAGTTGTGCGCAACTGAAAATGTACCGCGAAGAAATCGCCCCCATTGTTGTGTCAGAATTGATACCGTACCACATATCAGCTGACAACGCAGGACTAAAGTCAGCAGATATTCTGATCTTTTGTGTCAAACCCCAAGCATTGCCACCGAGGAGTGTTTTGGACCCAGTGTACGATCTGCTGCCCGAGCGTTACGCCGAAGCTCGTGAGCTCTTTAATCCTAATCGGTTGGTACCACCCACGCTAGAACAGGTTGAGAAATTGGCTGAAAAGTTGGACATCCCGAAATTCCGCGTGCGTAGTGCATTTCGCAGGTGTCACGAGGACGCACTTGCTACCTTGCGCTACATCATGGAGGGCCGTCACCTGGGCTTTATCTGCGACTCTTGTGGCGAGACAGACTTTACCGGAGCACGGTTCAACTGCGCTGTGTGCAACGATTACGACTTGTGCGCTTCATGCAATGGTAGGTGGTGACACTGCATCAATATGGATCGGAACTAATCGCTGTGGTCTTGATCTTGAAAGCAGTGCAATCTTGCGAGATCTCGCACCGCTATGCTAACGTCGACGGTAAATGGCAGCGCGTGTACAACTTTAAGGACCACAACACCAAGCACACCATGCGCAAAATGCTGCCGGTTTTCTATGGATGCGATCGCAAGCACCAGTCGCAGCCACCTGAGGAAAATCGCTACAATCATGAAAACGAGCAATTGCTGGTGTGCTAATCTCATGTAATCTTTAGGTTCATTCATTTTCTTACAACGTACTTCGCGTCACCCAGCGAAAAACTCGACTCGGATCGGCTAGATACCTGTATCAAGTCTAAATTAGAAACAAAATTTTCATCGCATGTGCTTGATGGTGCCCACCTGCTTTCTCCTCCTTGTACTGGACATCGGCTGTTTGGACCGAGCTTCCTTGCACTCTAGATGCAACCAGAGTCAAAGTCCGTGCTGTCGCGGGCAACGAGGCCGAATTCAGGGTATTGCTGGTCCGCTGATGACTGCGACTCGCGCTCGTTTCTAGCAAGGCCCAACCCAAGAAAGAAGAAAGAATCAGGGATCCCTTCGATGACCTAGCAGACCATTTCGACGTCCATCGCTGCTTCAATGTCTTCCTCGTACGTACCCTTCACTAATTCGCGGCTCCGATCGTCGCCCTGACCTGCGCTTCTCCCGTTTGCTGCTTGACTCACGCGGTAATGACGCCGGCTCCTCAATCCTTGTGTAGGAGAAGCCTTGGAATTCGTTCTTCGGCGACACGGCTAGTCGTTTGTCCTGCTGCAAGAAACCGTGGTCAGGCAACTCCTTCGTAAACTCTCGGTCGAAATTCTGGATATCCGTTGGGCTGCGAACACGCGGCTTGAAAGGCGGCTTGATGCCGCGCTGTTCCAGCAACTTCCAGTCGATACTGGAGAAGAAGACGTGGTTCTTAATGTCCTCTACGCCAGCACCAGGACGGGAGCCAATTCGGTACGTCGGGTCACGTTCTAATAGTGCTGAGATGAGACTCTTAACTTCAGAGCTCAGGCCGAAGTGCGCAGGGAACTTGAGCGGAGATTTCATGATTTTGGTGCACATTTGCTCGATGTTGCGGTCGAAGAAAGGTGGCCAGCCTGTGAGCATCTCGTACATGAGCGTACCAAGACTCCACCAGTCAATAGCCTTGCCGTACTCCGTCTTCTTCTTGCGGCTTATGAGCATTTCGGGTGCCAAGTACTCGGGTGTACCACAAAAAGTCTTGGCGCCTGTAAAGTCGGTGCAATCCGTTTTGGAGAGACCGAAATCCGTCAGTCGCACGTGGCCCGTCTCGTCTAGAAGAATGTTCTCAGGCTTGAGGTCCCGGTAGATGATATCCCGTTCGTGCAAGTGACCAATGGCCGCCACCAGCTCCGCGGCGTAAAAGCGCACCATGGCCTCCGAGAAGGAACGGAATTTCTTCAAATGGAAGAAAATCTCGCCACCGCAGCAATAATCCGAGACCATCACGAGTTTACTGGCTGTCTGGAACGAATACTTGAGTCCAACAATGAAAGGGTGGTCGATCGAACTCATGATCTTGCGCTCCATCATGGTATGGCCCACTTGATTGCGCTTTACCAGCTCCGACTTGCGCAGCACTTTCATCGCGTAGATCTTGCCATCTGTTCCACGCTCTCTTGCCATGTAAACCTTTCCGAAGGACCCTTTTCCAAGCATTTTGAGGATCTCGAAGTCCTGCATGGTCACCAATTGTCCTCCAGCGTCCTCCGAGGCAACACTGTTGCTATCACTGATCCGCGAAGACGTTGCAAGTGCCGTAGACGTTGACTGCACGTGCTTAGGTGCTGAAACCATGTCCACGCCGCGAGCTGCTCCATCCGTGCTGTTGCCGTCCTCTTCCTCGCTCTCCAATGAGCTGCTTCCAGAGGTCAAGAACTGTACGACTTCAATTGGACGTGGACGCAACGTCAGCACTGAATTCATGTACGTCTCAATAGCCTCACGACGCTGTTCAATGACGCGTAGTGACAGCGACATGAAGAATTTCTTGGGCGGGAAGTAGAGCTTCCCCACAGTCGCGTATTTCCTTCTCAGCGTCTTGTGCAGCTCGCGGAAATGGCTATATCTCTTCTCCGAGACTCGGACTGCACCTGACTGGTAATGCACGTATACTTGGAACACCGTATACCGCTTCTTGCTGCCATTATCCCGGTCTCGTCCCAGTACTAGGGCTCCCATCGAGCCTCCGTGTCCTCCACGACCGTCTTTTCCGTTCCAAGTTGAAGATCGTCCGGCTCCGCTGCCTACAGGCGAGTTACCGGCACTGTCGGCACCTGCAGGGATGTGGAGTCGGTCTGCTCGGTCCGTCGTGAGCTTCGACTTCCAGCGGGGGATCTCCACCTTGAGGATATCATCACCTGCGGGGGACGCGGCAGGGTATTCGGGGTGCAATTGATGTTGAGGACTCAGATCTCTGCTGGTTGTATGGACGTTAACGTGATTGGAGCTCCGCTGGGGCGGAGACAACGCCGAGTTTGACGTATACGATGATGCACTGGATCGGCCTGAGGCCGGCACTTCAGACTGCACGTGCGTGAGCGAGTGCCGCATGTGCGAGCTCTTCTTACTGTTGCTGTGACGCTTCTTGTGCGACTGTGGGTCATGGTACGACGCGCGTAGGTTGTTGGCGCTATTGGCGCCGGGTCGGACCTGGACCTGGTGCTGGAAAGTGGCGCTGAGGTTGCGCCCACTGGCACTGCCGGCAGCAGAGCGAGAGCGAGCTGGAGGGTCAGTCGGTGGGCGGCGCGAGGCACGCGGGTACTCGTCGACCGCGGGCATCGAAGAGACTGTAAAGTGTCGGAGGTTCGAGCGCTTGCGGTCGTCGGGTGGGGGCGGGTTTGTAGTTGTGGAAGTCGCTCCGGCTGTCTCTTGCGCTTCGTGGGCTTGTTGACAGGTTGCGTAGTATGTACGGGAATGGTCAATAAATACAGGATTGATCCATTTTTGACTTGACGTTATTATGGAGCGTTTCAAAAAATGCTGACTAGCAAGAAAAAGAACGACTTCAAATGTACTAGAATGGTCAAACTTAAAGCGACACCAATAAAGGTCAACCTTCCCATCGATCGCTGCCGATGGCTACGCATGTGAAAGCTGGTTATTATTGATGGAAAGGTTTCCTTACTTGGACGAAAGGAGGCTTGCTGCGTTCTCGCCTCTAATTGATCGAACCGTTCTTACATAGATCGGTTCATAGAAGTTGTCTGCCCTGGCCTCAACTACGAAAGCTCAACGTGGCGTCACTGGCACCAACTCATTTGCGTCGAGAACGTAGTCTTGTTTATCTGGGATGTTGATTGTTGCCGTTCAAGTTGCATCCCATTCACGGTATTGCTTCCATATCCAGGTGAATAAGATCTCGTTCGACAAGAAACGGCAGTGCGTCACACAGACTCGCTACAGTTTCACAGAGTGACGTTAGTCCAAGTTGGACTCGGATCATATCCTTGCGCAACCTGCTCATTGAAAAATTTATTTTCCGTTCATGCGATGGCAACGCCGAGGCGACCGAGCGCTTACGGTTACCGGTACCGGTTTATCTTAATCAAAGCAATCTAGTAGCCGACGCCTGCCGTTGCAGGAGCAGCAGACGGTCGAGCAAGAGCCATCCACGCCGCCAGTTTGCGCATGGCGATATCAAGATTCGGGCAGACTGACTGAATGAAGCCTTCAATAGCCTCCAGAGACGGGTCGTCTTGCTGCGCAACAACAGAAGATAGAGTGAGATCAGCATTTCGGTGGCATACTGGACAACTACTACTTACCATACTCTCGATGAGATAAAGTGCGAGGTCGCCCTTGAAGTCCACGAATGCCAGTCGAGCAAAGAGTTCGTCTGGTGCACGACCGAAGGCTGAGCCTGGCAAGATTGCCACTCCCGTATCCTGCAACAGCTGTGCGCATAGCTGCTCGTCAGTCGAAATGCCTTTCAATGCGAGCGCCTTGCGGTGTCGTCGAAAGCACGGGAACAGATAGAAACCGGCCTCGGGGACTTGAACTTCGACATCCATTTTCTGCAATTGGTAGGCGAACCAGCGACCGATAAGCTGCAGCGTCTTCTGGCACTTGCGCTTGTACGACGCGAGCTCGATGCAACTGCAGAGAGCACAAAATAATCACAGGAAGGTGAGCCGTTAGATCGTTAATATCTAGCGGTTGCCTACTCGCAAGTATGGAGGACCGTGCTACGTACTTGGGAACGAACGCTCGTCGAGCGGCGTGCTGGATAGGCGACGCTACCGAAGTGTATGTTTCGGACGCCATGACAAGCATGCTACTGCGTAACCAGTCCATGCTGGGAGGGAACAACCAGAAACCCATACGCCACCCACCGGCGCCGCACCATTTGCTCAATCCTCCTGAAACGATGGTTCCTTCAGGGTAGTATTTGGATAGTGACAGGTGTGTGCCGGAATGATGCAGCTCGGAGTAAATTTCGTCCGAAACCACGAGGATCCGGTATTTCCTTGCAACTTTTGCGAGTGCCTCCAGCTGGAAAAATGGTGATGACATTAGTTTGCTGGTTTCACTTTTGATAGAACGAAAAAAAATTCACAACCTCATCGGCTTGATAAGCGCAGCCAGTTGGATTGGACGGACTGTTTAGAATGAGAATCCGAGGAGCATCTGATGAAAGAACCGCAAGGAAATGGTTAGATGTCAAAACGTTTTGTTCATACATAAAGCGGTTTCATTACTACCTGCGTCTTTTGCACAATGAGCTTCCAGTACTTCTGGACGAAGCACGAAGTGATCTTCAGCATGTGTTGGCAGCCACATCATATTCCTTTTTCATGCAACAAAAACAAAAAAGATCATACTTCGAAGTAATCCACAACAACACGTGAATATACAGAACTTACCTTCCAGCAATAGCAGCTTGAGGCGCGTAACTCGTGCAGCTTGGGTTGGGCAGCAGTAGGTCTCCATAGTAAACTGTCTGCAGCACAAACAGAAGCTCTTTGGTGCCAGGCCCCACCAACACGTCATCTCGAGTGTATTTGATATGCAACCGACTCGTTCCCCAAGCTGCAATATCGTCACAAAGCTCCGGTAACCCTGCAACCGGTAGATAATCTCTTCGGTGCGAATTGGCTCTGCATTATATATCCTATCAGCTTTAATTTGTATCAACAATCTTTGATCCCTCCACGTACCGCAATTCATCGACAATACACTGTGGGATTGGGAATGGCGACTGGCCCAAACCCAACTTGTAAATGCACTTGCCCTCCCTAATCATCTTATTGCTCAGCTCGTCCAACGCACTCCCAGCCGCCGTACACAGCATTCGAATCTTGCAATTAATCACTTTTCTCGGTCCTAAAATCTCCCGAAAAGAGTCAAATTCCCACTCTCAGCCTCGTCATATTCAGCCAAAACATCGTCCACCTTTACTGGGCGTATCCAAATGACTCGCCGATCGCTTGCGGCCTGTAATAGCAACTATCTGGTTATCAATCCCATTGGCCTCCGCAGCATCCTCGTTGCTTGTATCGCTCTGATTGTTGGTATCAGCGACAGCAACCACAGGAGCTTCTTGTTGGACTTGATCGGAGGTCTCGACCACTGAACCCGACGCTTCCGACACCCTCCGCTGCACCCGGCGTTGCAGAGTGGTGCGCGGCACATCGAACTTGCGTGCCGCCTCCCGCAACGACATTGAGCCGCTCTGCACAGCGTCGACGGCTGCTTCAATCTCCGCCGACTCAGTTGCATGTCTCGCCATTCTTGCACTTGATGAATGAAAAAAAATTGCTCATTAGAATCAGAAATACTCAGATTTGGTCTTACGTATTTCTAGTGAAATTGAAGTGGAGCATCTGATAATTTATCTCACATCTACCCAACCGACGTCCCGATGGCGTGGCGAGCGAATAATGCGAAGGCAGCGGGCGGACGTGGGGCACCCTCGTCGGTGCCGCGCGCCAAGCCGACTATGCAGGCCATTGCGGAGATCGAGAAGAACCGCGAGGATCGTCGTCGAGCCATGGCAGCGGCCAAGCGCGAGCGAGAGCGGGAGAGTCAGCTGAACGAGAAAATGGGTCACCCAGGCGACGTGGACTTCCAGCGCATGATCAAGGCCTTCCGGGAGCAGAACAAGGACAAGAGTCGGCCGCATGCCGAGGCTGGTGATACCAAGATCACCATCTGTGTTCGCAAGCGACCTGTAAACGCTAAAGAGGTCAAGAAACACGACTATGATGCTGTAACGTGCCTCAACCCCATGGCTATCGTACACGACTGCAAGCTGAAAGTGGATGGTATCACCAAGTACCTAGACAGTAATGCCTTCAACTTTGATCATGTACGGGATAGTGTTTGAAAGCTGCAAGTGAGGCAGCGCTGTAGAAACTTATACTTCTTTTGCTGTAGACTTTTGATGAGAACGCCACCAACGAGAGTGTGTACATGTACACTGCTCAGCCGCTAGTCAGGTTTATATTCCATGATGGAGGTCACGCTACTGTCTTTGCGTATGGACAGACAGGTAGTGGCAAGACACACACGATGCAAGGTATCCAGAGTCAGATTGCAGCCGATGTGTTCGCCCAGGTTGACGAGTTCGCGAGACGTGGCTATCCGTTGGATATCTGCGTGAGTTTCTTTGAGATCTACGGTGGACGTTGCCAGGACTTGCTACACCGACAGGTACTGACGATTCGGGAAGATGGCGCCGGAGAAGTGCAGATTGTTGATTTGCAGGAGGTAAAACCACAGAATACGGAGGAGCTACTACAAGTGATCAGCAAAGGAAACAGTCTTCGCACGACGCACGCTACAGAGGTGAACGATGTGTCGTCTCGCTCGCATTGCATTTGCCAAATTAATCTTCGTGAGAAAGGAACTGGAAAGATATATGGCAAGCTGTCTTTGATCGACCTTGCTGGTAGTGAACGTGGTGAAGACACGAAGAATCACAATCGACAGCGACGTATGGAATCCGCGGAAATCAACCGAAGTTTGTTGGCGCTGAAGGAGTGCTTCCGGTAGGACTGATGCAATGCAGTACAATTGAAATGATGGGTGTATCTAATAGAATGTCGTTCTCTTTCAGAGCACTGGACAGTGGCGGTCGAGGCACTCACATCCCGTTTCGAGCAAGCAAGCTCACCCAAGTGCTAAAAGATTCGTTTGTTAATGCTAAAGCGAGGTACGTGGCCGCTGTTATTGGTGCCATCGAGAGCTCATTTAACGATATGAGTGCTGGTGTTACCAAAAGAACCGTGATGATTGCAGCAGTCTCGCCATGTGCTTCGTCCTCGGACCACACGCTTAATACGCTTCGATATGCTGATCGGGTTAAGGAGAAGCACGTTTCGGCGGATGCCTTCGACGAGAGGAATGCCGACTCTGAACCGGTGGATGTCGATGATGTTCAATTTGAAGAAGGTGGGTCTGAAGATGTTGTAACGCTGAAAAGCGCTGATTTCGGTCTCACATCTACTACTGACATAGATTTTGACGGCGGTGAAGCACAGGATTCGGGTGACGATGCCGAAGAAGAAGAATATGACGATGAAGATGAGTATCCACATGGAGATGGATATGATGAGGATGACGATACGCATGAAGGCAATGGAGCTAAGTACAAGTGCGACGCCGGTAACAGAAACGATGTACAGACGGGTTCGTCGCACCATTCCCGCGGTGGTCCTGGTTTGAGCGAAGATTTGAGCATTCTCCGCATTAATCAACGACGTCATTCCAGTACGTTGATAACCAGAGATGGTAATGCTGAGTCTTACTGATGTGCTGTACTGCTGCTCAGATAAAAAGAATGGCGATCAGATTGAGGAAAACTTTCCAGAAGAAGCGTGGCAAGGAGTGGTGATGATCAGCTTAATGGCATCTTGATACGCCAAAGCAAACCTAATGATACTTTGTTTCGGTGACAGGTCCAAACACTGTACGAAGAGCAAGAGAGTTTGCTTAATACGCACATGGGCGCGATTCAGGTTTGTTAGTTGCTATATTTAAAAATTCGCGTTGCCTTTGTTAACTAGAATTTGGCTTTTGTTTGGCGATAGGAAAATGCAGAGCTGCTAACAGAGGAAGGCGCTATGCTAGCAGCGATTCAAAACGATGATTCGGCAAGCATTGAGCAGTATGTTTCGCGTCTGGAAGAGGTAGGTAACTTTGCAGGATCCGAATGCTATGTTCAAGTCTAAACAGTATTTGACTGCGACAGATTCTAGCCCAGAAAGCACAGACGATCAGCACTCTTCGACGGCAACTTGCTGCCTTCCGTCAGCACTGCGAAGGTGAAGAGGAGAAGGCAACCGAGTCGCCTCCGAAGAAAATTGTGCGTGGCGGTCACTAGGTGTATTCCAAAAACGCAAATTGCAAAATAGAGCTTTTGCACTTCAAATTGTTCATAAATTCGCTTAAGTTCGCTTTATCAAGTTGGACGTCATTCGAGAATTCCAAGTGATCAACGGAACTGTGAAGATGAGGCAACGCGGGCTGGCAACCAAACTCTTCTCACGTGTCGTAGCAGCCACCAAGGGACAGCCCGCGCACTACCAAGTGGCAGTAGAAGCCGCTCCATATCGGACCGCAGCGCAGACGCAGACCAGACAAGCTCTGCGGTCGTTGACGGTCGTTCCAGACTCCAGCAACTCTACGTCTCATAGATTCGCAGCTATTGTCGGGGTCACAGCACTTGCTGGAGCGACGGGGCTCACTGTGGACGCAGCGGAATCAGAGGCAATTCCGGACAAAAAGCAGGGAAAGGTTATGCGCTTTTGTCGAGAATTTGGTGCAGTGACACATTGCTGAATTGATCTTTTATGCTGTGTTTGCAGCGCTTTGAGTACGCTGAAGCGGTGGACACCATTCGCCAACAAGTGTCAGAATTCCGCACGACACTCAAGAGTTCCGAGACTCGTATTCCTAAGGCTTTCCCCATCAAGAAGATCGGGATTTCCAGAATCCACGCTCCCAATGGCGTGTCGACGATCCGGATTGAGTTTGCGTGCCCGACCTTCGTTGACCGTGAAGCGATCCTCGGTCGGTTCTTGCTACAGTTACAGAACGCATCAATACCGGGTTCTCGCCAGGCAGTCGAGGTGATGCCGGCCCCGGAAAGCTCAACGAAGAAGTCGGTTGTGGAATCTTATCACCAACCTGCTGTGACTTACTTGTACGGTAATGGCTCTGGATCGTTCCAGTTTTTGCGCGATACATCATCGTTGCAAGCGACTTCAAAGTTTGTTTTCTACAAGGATGAGTACCTCACGCAAGGCGAGATCGACGCCGTTGTCGGTGCCTACAAGGAGATTTATTCGTTTGCAAACGTGGAGGCGTTCTTCCGTCATGAAATGGAACAACGCCGTAGAAACGCACTTTTTGGACGCGGTAGAAACGCGACTGCTGCCACTGTCGCCCCACCTGATAGCAAGGTTAGTCATTGATGGACTGTTGTTGTGCTTGTACCGGTGCTGTTATCTCAATTCTACATAATGGTTGCAGGAAGAGGCGATCCAGCAGCTACAAGGTCTTGGAATTGATGTGTTTGAGCCAACGCAGAACGAAAACAGTTTAACTTGGGATAGCTTGGTACGTGGTAAATGTTGGCCGTCTAGAGAGGGAATATCGTGTTGTTACACCGCATTATGGTTGTGTTGGCTCTAATGTAGGCTGGGTACGAGAAAGTAAAGCTGGAAATTGAAGACACTGTAGTGCTAGCGCTTCAGAATCCAGAGCTGTACGAGCGTATTGCTCGTAAAACCCGATGCCGTTATGAGAGCAATCGTCCCCGTGCCGTGCTTTTCGAAGGTCCTCCAGGTACCGGCAAGACTCTAAGCGCACGAATCATTGCACAGCAAGCAGGAATCCCCATGATCCATATCCCTATCGAGAGCGTTGTATCCAAGTGGTATGGTGACAGTGAGAAGAAAATGTCGGCAATCTTTGATGCCTGTGAAAAGCTGGATGGCGCCATCATTTTCATCGACGAAGTATGTTACCGCAAATGCTTGGATGGTTATTTATTGGTTTCTGACGTTGCGTTTATGTCAGATTGATGCACTTGCTGGAGATCGTTCTGGCGGTACAATGCATGAAGCCTCGCGCCGTATTTTGTCCGTTCTTCTCCAAAAGGTGGAAGGCTTTGCATCTGCCAAGAAGACGACCGTCGTGTGCGCCACCAACCGGTACGTTATTTGCTTTCGCACACGATGTCACTGGGAAATTATTAATCTGTGGGAGTATTGATGATGTTACAGGAAACAAGACCTGGATGCTGCGCTGATCAGTCGTTTTGATCTTTCCATTCGCTACAACCTCCCTGATGAGAAGACTCGTCGTGCAGTGTTTGGCCGGTATGTCTTGCATTGTTCATTTTAGGTAAAAACTTGAGCACTGAAGCCGTGTTCTTTCTAGCTATGCTAGGCAGCTCTCAGAAGAAGAACTTTCGCAGTTGGCCGCTGTGTCATCTCAACTTTCGTGTCGAGATATTAAAGAGGTAGGCTAGGTTGATGATACTGTAACGTGCGTGGTCACTTATTTGCCGTTCTGGATGCTCGAATAGATTTGTGAATATGCAGAGCGCAAGTGGGCCTCGAAAGTCCTGAAGAAGGAAGAGACGACAGAATTGCCAACGCTGCAGACCTACATGGAAGCTGTGAAGATTCACATGGGTGGTATCTCCAGTCACGGTCATCGTCCAGACGTGTACGAAGCATAAATGATGTATATCATGCTGAACGTTGCTTGGCGCCGTGCTTAGCCACCGTCCAATCATTATTCGATTAAGGCCGACTTTGTGCTCTTCCTTAAAAGCTCCTGGTATTGCTGGTTGAGCTCATTGCCCAATCTTTCCACAAGTGGCTCACTGCGTTCTATTGAGCAATACGCATGGGTAAGTCGTCTTGAGTAAACGAGGAATCGTGAGTGCCACCTACGCAGTATCATTTGAGCAATTTTCATAAACTTGAGAGCTTCTTCATTGTCGTTCCCGCGGTGATAGAGCACGCCCTTAATGCACGCTGTTTAGCAAAACAATTGAAGCTACTACTAAAGTAATTTGTAGTACGTACGATGTTCCACGCTTTCGCGACAAACCACTCCATTTCGAGCTCAGGAAACGCTACGTCCAAATTATCGAGCAACTGAAGTACATGCTCGAACCACTCGTGTGCTTTTGTCTTCGATTCCGCCAGTGTAATAAGCCGTCGCAGCAAATAGCACAGCGTGTTTGAGTCGGGTGTCCTCGCTTGGATCAGCAGTTGAAGCCTGCAAATATTTGGATACACTTATTCTCATCATCACATCTACGAAACACACATACATGTAGGTCATACCCGTAGCTAAAAACTTGTCCTGCTAGGAACCGATAGCTGTCTAGAACCTGTCCAAGTAAAAGGTATGAGGGTGACGTTTGTCATGTTGACCTGAACAAGTTTTACTTACCTCTGACGCTTCATTGAACTTAGTCGCATACAGCACCAACTCTACTCGACAGCGCGAACTATGAGTGATATGAAAGAATGCAATACTTTACAACTCACGCACCTCCAATCTCCATGAGCTGAGGGACACTCTGTTGTGTGGTTTTGCAAAGTTCAAAAATCGCTTCGGTATTTGCGTTGAAAAGCCTCAATTTCACCGCAATGTCTGCCCTTGCCTAACAACAAAAAATCTGTCAAAAATTCTCGTTGTTGACACTATCAGGTGTATCGTACCAAATAGCACCCGACTTCAGATGTATCTCCGCTTTGAATGCACCCGATCCGGTTGATCACCTCGAGAAGTCCCAGTAATCGGCTCTTGTCCAATGTGTCGATTTTCTTCATATCAGAACTCACTGCAGCAAGCAAGCACTGCTGGCTTTGCTGCATGAGGGGCGACTTTAGCTCGAATAGCTCGTCGCTTCGCTCTGCGATGTTGGCGGCCACGATAAAGTACCTCGAGTCCTCAGTACTTTTGGCGATGTCAAAGCTGTTGACAAGTATTTATCAGACTCGACAAAAATAAGCGGAGCTGCTAGGATCTCTTACCTCATCCGAAAGAACCACTCGAAGATTGACGAAGGTTCAAAACTCTCCTTGCGATCGATTGTGTCGGATATTGATGACTTCAACAGTAGGGTGTTGGCGTATGTCAAGAATTTCTCGCTGTATGAGCCTTCTGCATTGTCATTCAACCCGTTTTGTTGCCGATGAGTGAATTTGGTGAATGCGAGTTGAGCTGCATTTTGAAGAACTACACCGACAGGTAGTTTTGCCGGGAAGCTGTCGGTTTCCATGAGTGTATGACACAGCTCATCTAGAATGAGCATCACAATCTCTTGCCGAGATGGGCCAAGATCACTTGCTAGTTTTCCCATGGCTAGCAAGTCATCAATCTCAAAGTCATCTCTGGCTTTTAGCTGGTCAATAGTGCGAGTTAGTTTTTCTTTCGATACTTCCGGGTTTGCTTCGATTGCCGCTTGAAGCACAGCAAGGAGGGATTGCTTGGAAGGCTCTGTGGCAAAAGCCTCTTCAGCCCATTCGAAAGCTTCAGAATCACGGCCCAATTGAATGCATGAGCGAGAGATAATCCTACAGATTTCGCTGAGATCAACAACGACTCATTGCTAAAGGCACGGTTAAATACACAAGTACCTCATGTACATCGCCTTATCTTGTGATGTTGAAACAGTAGCCAACGCTGCATCAGCCCATTTCAAGCAATCCTACAACACATATTAAACAACGAGTGAATATAGCCCTCTACACGATTTTAACATAGAAGACTACCACGTGCTGATTTGAATTCAATGCTTCCTGAAGAGCATCAAAAATGGTCTGTCGAACTTTTAGGATATGTTTCTTGTCGATTGCTTGGCCGTTCCTGTAACAAGTGCACTGTAGAATGAGAGTGCCGATAACCTTTGAAGAATCCATGAGTTTTGTACCGCTGTTCTTCCAGTAACGCACATCCAATACGTTTCAGCTCGTCGATGGCCTCATAGCGTTTCCCCTCGACAAAAGCAAGATTGCATGCGATATCCACGTTAATGGCGAAGTCGGCTTCCCCATAATTGCTGGCAAGCTCTCGATAAATATCCAAGCCTTTATCAGAGAAGGAGAATCCTCGAGCAAAGGTGCGAGCTCCTGCAAGGGAATCCTCAAAGCAATCCTGCTGAAACAACAGTTGAAGCAGTCGATGCGCTTTCTCGAACTGTTTGTTCTCTACGTAGAGCTTGTTCATCAGTAGCAACACCTTGCGGTCTCGGTTGTCTGGAATAAGCTGGTAGCACGCTTCTGCTCTTTCAATATCTCCAGATGCGCACAGTGACTGTAGCAAGTTCATCAGTAAGTGCTGCTTAAACGAGGTTATCAGCTCTGGAAAGTTTTCGTCTGCAGCATTTTCAAGAGATTCACCGATACGCAGCGCTTCTTCGGCAAATGGCACCTGCAGATCTTGGAGGGTTGCATGTTTGTAGTCATCGCTCACTCTCAACATAATATCAAGCAAGCTGCTTGCATACGATGTCTTGTACGGAGTCAGCATCTTTAACTCATGAAGTGACGACATAATATCTCGCGAATCTTCTGGTGAAGTGTCTGACCGTTGTGCAAGCAACTGGAGCACTCGCACGCGGTCCACGCAGAAATCCCATAAGTCATCCACAATGTCTTCTAGCTCCAATCCGTGCTTGAACTTGGTCAGATGAGAGAGCCCAACGCGAGACCAGAGCTGCATCGACGAAGAAAACGATTCTTTTGCCAATGACAGGTATTCCTCACACTTTGCGCAGTCGATTGATGCGCTTTCCAACATTAGCATCCCGACACGACCAAACGAGCGTAACACGCCGACGCACTCGTCCATGAATTGCATACTCTTCTTCCCACTTTTCTCCTGAGCTCCGTCGTCTTTAGAGCAAATCAGCGACAGTTCCATAACTTTCGCGGCCACAAACCGTGTGAGTGCCAGAGAGTACCTTGAGAAACTCGTCCGTTGCTCGTCAGTGTGGTTGTCCTCAATTTGAGCCAATACTCTCATAGCAGCTCGTGGTGCGTTGTATAGCTCCACTCCCACGTTCATCAGCTGCGTTCCAGACAGCTCCAGTACCCGTTGCTTGCCAAAACCTGCCACAATGCGTTGAAGTCCCTCTAGGACTCGGTTTAAACCCGCAATATCTTCCGCCGAAGCTTCAGTTGCACGAGCGAGAAGCTCCGTCGCGGCCTCCACGTACTTCGAAATTGTCGACGCATCTTCCTCCAGCATCTTGTTGGCCGATTGCTTTCCACTCGGCGAATTCCGCACTGAGCTCTGGGCGCTCTACGGCAGCTTGACCATCACTCTTACTTCAACTTTGAAATTCCTTTCATCTGGTATAAGATCTCGAGGTTGAGTCAATCCTAGAACAGTAATATAAATTATCGCAGAAAAACTTTGAGAATGCATTTATTGTAATTGTGCCACGCAAGCAGAGCAAGTATGCGGGGCAGGAGTGTGTTCGCTGGGGCAGTGGCCGCCTTGGCGCTGAGTACCGAGCTGTGTAATGCTGCACCCAAGGTTGACATCAAGATCATCGCTCGTCCACGGCCGGAAGAGGAGGCGCCTCCGGTACTGCTCCCGGTCCCGTCGCGCGATCCGTTCCCAGCATTCCAAGGCATGTCACGATAGCGCGAACGATTATTTAATGAGAAACATTCAATAGCGATTTCTAAGCTGCTGTTATTATGCGCTGCAGGGCCATTTGTTGACAACCTGGAGGCACTACCGTGCATTCATGAGGAGAGGGAGATGCAAAAGGGAAAAGCGTGAGTGTTCATCGCGCATTTCAACATCTTATCCTTCATTTGATTATGGCTAACCACCGCCATTGCAGCTATATTCTGGATCTATGTCTTCTTGCGAACGTGACAATTGAAGCCAAGATTGAGAAGAAGGTGGAAGTGGAGATAGAAGTGACGGACGGTGTGCCGGATGATTCACTGGTGACGGACGACAGGACGGAAGTTCCCAACACGGCTGAAGATGACGATGCTGCTACTGAAAAGTTGGTAGATCCGGTGTCCGAAGAGAAGGAGAAGCCGGAAATCCCCACTATTCTTGGGTAATAGGCGTGACTTGCTTTCTTGGTTTCCCTAGAAAGTGCTCACGTGTTTTGTGTGACGCTTTTGCCACTTGCAGCATTTTCCGCGGCTGGCAGATCGATCCTATCACACTGAACTACAAGTACATGGTCTACGACGACGGCGACGATTGTATGGATAATGATCATTACTCTATGGTTGTGGAGTTGATTCCTTCGAGTAACCCGGAGTCGGACACGAAACTGTACGGACTGAAGAAAACCGGTATGTGCACGTTCAAGGCATCACTACTTACCTATGTCCCAGAAGGAGACCGTCTTGCAGGACAAGGCATCCACACTCCCGGAGTGGTAGACATCAGCGACGCGGAGGCGTCTTTGCCAGTTATCTGCGGCAAAATGAAATGTCGTTACGGAGATATCTCAAAGCGAGTGCGGGATTTATCGGACCAGGTACGATAATCTTTGGTCGAACCCAAAATGCTGATACAATTCATGTCTCTAACTGTTCGTGTGTTTTCAGATCCGGGGTGTCCAGTCCAGTTTGGTAGAGGGAACCCGTGCAGCGAATACGCTTTTTACCAACATGACTCTGGAAACATCAAAGAACACGATAGAATCTGCAACGCAGATACTTGAGAAATCGCTTGAGCTCTTCAATGAGATTGAGAACCTTCAGCGATCTCTGACAAACGATTTTCTAGGACGAGAAGACGCAGCAAAGAAGGAAATTGCCGAACAGGAAGCAAAGGATAAAAAGAGGAAAGAGGAAAAAAAAGCTCGGAAAGCTGACCCCGCTGGTGTTAGTGCTGGCGATGACGAAGCTGCTTCAAATACTGAGGAAGAACAGGTTGTGACTGATCCTGCAGAAGAACAGGGCGAAGTGACTGCACAGAGCTGATCAGCAAGTACTTGCAGCGAGGAATACATGATTTTCCGTTTTGTGTTCTACATCTAGACAAGCCAAAAAAAGACTGTCAAATTTCCGATATCACGTGTGGGCATGCAGCAAACGGGGCCGTGGCGATGGAGTGATCAGTACTCTTTCTGTGAACTCAAAGAAGCGGAAGCACACCGTGCAGCACTTTCACTTCGTCAAGAGGCTCTGAAGAATGAGCTGTTGCGAATGCGCCAACAGCAGTTTGTTATGGCCAGTAGAGAGCGCCATAATGAATTGAGGTATCGACCAAGTTTGTATAAGTGTTCGGTACGGTATCGAAGGCACGAGTTTAATGTAGGTGTGTTGTGCAGATCTCAAGTACAGCGGCTAGAGCAGCAGATTCACCATTATGAGGTGCGATCAGAGTAAAAAAAAGTGTTGCTTTTATAAAACACCTCACATTTGCTTGAATGCAGCTCAAGACGTTTAATGCAGAGCGCGTTGGTAGGATCAACGATTGGACAGATTCTACTGCTAAGGATGCACCGTTGCCTTTCGCACAGTTAGATGAACGACTAGCTGGGTCAAGTGAAACTCTGATTGCAAAGTTAGCGCAGCAAAATGAGCAGATCATGGCGTTACTGATTCCCCGGCGGCAGTAGGTATTCTTTCATTTAACTAGCTCGATGTACTCTTCTGCCTATACAGTAGAAGCCTGGATTTGAGGGACTAACTTCTGTGTGTTGAAGGGATAAGGCACACGCTTCTGGCGTACCGAGCATTTCAACGTTATCTCCACCGCCACATCCTTCCAGCAAAACGGATTCTACAAGTAGACGAGATCCTGAACATGAGAAGACCATGCAACAGGAATCACAATCAGAAATACCGATTAAGAACCGTGCACCGACGTTCCAGACCCCATCAGTAGTGTCATGGCTTCCTGAGTTCGAGTGGACGGATGAAGATGAAATTGTACGTAGATTTACAGCTAAAGGACCTACGTCGTTTATAGCCTATAGTGTTTGTTTAGGCACTCGACAAACTTGAGAACGACGCAGATTTTCTTATCGACAATCCTGAAAGTGATGATGTGACCGGCGTTAACCATGACCATGAAATTGGCGCATCCGCGAACACCAAATCTACTTTACCAAAAGATCAGAAAGCACGCAATCGTCTTGAGAGCCACAAGAAGCTCGAGGCACTCCTTAGCGCCTCCCTGAAAAATGTAGGCGGAGGCGCGTTGAGAAAACCGCGGTGGCGGCTTGAAGCCGGCGATGTTATCTCTCCATTCGAGTCTGAAGCGGAGGCAATGAAACCTCTTCAGATCTTCCGCTCGGCTGTACTCGGTGTCTTGTTCGTGGTTTATCTCAAGGACATATTGATGACCAAGAAACTTGCAGAAAAGAAAAGCACGATGCTAGTACGTCGTTGTTGTACTTACTTTTCGACACATTTTTCAGCCAACTAACCACATTTGTATAGGGTTTTGAGTCCATGTTGCGGGTTTACTTTGATGCCACTCGTATGTGGTTAGGAAAGGTGGTGAGAACACCCTTACTGTCCCTACTTCAGGATGCAAGTTTAGACGTGGATATCAGTACGAGGGGTGGTCTTACTGGGTTTCGAGGCTTTGCTAGGAAGTTTGGTGATATCCTTTCTCGCCGCCCGCCCCCATCAGCACAATCACTTGCCAGCAATGGACAGTCAAGTAAAAATTCCGTGGATCCGGCAAAGCTGCTAAAGTTAAAAGTGCGAATGAGAGGGATTTTGCAAGCTCTAAGCAAGGCGATTGATAAGAGGGAGGTGCCCTCTGGCATCTTGGACTTCTGGAAAAGGATATCTAGCGATGGAGTTTATTTCCCACCCAGTGTACGTTGCACACCGACTGCTAATTTAATAATGACTATGTAGTTAACTGACCGCTTTTTCATTCAACAGTACCAACTCTTTAACGAGGAGCGAGAAAGTCTCGAGTTTGATGCTCTAGGTGCTACTGAGAGAATGGACTTTGCGGTATCTACTGTTGTCGACCAGAACGTTGATTTGGACTGGAGATGTGGCCACCAGTTTTCTCGATTCAACGTCGTGCTGGTCAATTTTCTCTTTATTCGGATTCTGATTCCACACGTCATCTTGCAACCGTGGAATGTTGGAATCGGATCCAAGATCATCGGGAAGCAGACAGCAGCAAATTTAGCCAGCTTGGCTACTCTGCTCTACTGTGTCTGCAAACAACTTTCACCGTTGCCACCACTGGTGCAGCATTCAGATACACCGGTTCTTGGAAGACGACGATCAAAAACAGTGACAATCTTACAATCAAGCACAAGTGATGAAAACGCTGTGCAAGGTGAAATCGATTCAGTGCTTACTGGAGAAGCGGGGCATAGTGTGGATACTGCATTTATGTCCATCGACGAAATTGGGCGTCGCCTTATATCCGAAAAAAGCTTCCCCAGTGAAGATCCTCAAGTCATCCAGGTCGTAGAGGAACACCACCTTATGCTGCAGGAAACACTGACACGGCTGCGTTCCCAGCTCCATGGCTCGCAGGAATAGCTAGAAGAACGTATTGTGCTTATTAAGCGAAATAACCCTCTGTTTAAGTTTAAACGGCAGCCATGCCTGCACCTACCCGTGCAAATAATCTTACACAATATGTGATTGCACACGTCAAGAGTCCAGAGAGGGACCCTTAATTATTGCGCAGCCAGTTTGTTAGAGCGTACTCCTGTCGGTCGTTGTTCGCAACGCGCTGCTGCTGACCCGAAGTTCTTGGTTGTGAGTTCAGCAGATTCTGCATGCTCGGAATTGGTTTCTTCCGAGATACAGACCGCGAGTCACTTTCCTTTGGGAGGAAAAAGTTGGTCAACTTACCAGTTTCATCGTAGCCACGGCGGCACACCTCCGCCTGGAATCCAGCCATCTCTACAGGAGGCTGACTTGACGGTGTCACATTGAACGCTCCGTACTGGTTCGGGTTAAAGTTGCTGCGTCCAAATCTTTGTCGTGAACTCGGTGTCGGACGGATTGATACGTCCGAGTAAGCGTTCGCGCGGAATCCCGCCGATTGTGACCGTTGCGTAAATCCTAGAGCATCGTCGTTTCCCTGATCAAAGAACGACATCGCATTTGATGTCACGGACGACGAGTCAATCTTAGGCTTCTTGTTTTCCACTGATGACTGAAGTCCCGTTCCAAAAGTCGGATACGCGCGTTTGCTCTCAAACGCCACTGAATCTGCACTGCGAGCCTTGTTCTTCACCACTCTAGCATTGCCAACTGCCTGTTGCTGTGCAAGTTGCGGCTGTGTATTCCTCAGCATCTCCTTAAGACGCATCTTTTCCTTCACCACCTTCTCGTATTGGTCATGGCGGAACTTGCATGCCTTTTTTAACGCCATAATGAGTTCTCGCGGGTTCTGGACCTCCTCCTCCAGTGCCGAAGCGTCGCATGTCTCTAAGTAATTGATAATACTTTGATTCACACTCGATCTGCGCGCAGCCTCAGTTTGACGCGAGAGTTCCATCTGGTACCTCGACACTTTGGTCAATAGTTCATTCTTCGTGTTTTCCAATGAACCGACCCGCTGAGCTAGCGAACGCTTGTCGGCTAGTAGTTGCTCACTCTGACTGCGCAGACGCCGCAGCTCATCCACGAGGCGCTCCTGCTGTTTATTTTGCCACTGGATGCGCTCCATGAGCGTATTGACGCGCGAACTGAGCGCCACGCTGTCTCCAGAGGCCTCGGCATGCTTGATCGGCTCTATATTTCCATCCTGGGCATCGCCAGTGCTCGGTACGTCGAAGTAGAGCGCGATGAGATCAGCGTCGTATGTGCTGCGGCGGCATATGGGACATTGCTTGTTGACCTGTAGCGCCTGAATGATGCAGGCGTGGTGGAAGACATGGCCGCACGGCGCAGCCACGAGGTCACTGCGTAGCTCTTCAAGGCAGATATGACATTCCTGGTTTGACGAGGTTGCCATCGCAGCGACTACGCCAAGCTTTCCTCTCGCGTATTTGCTGGAGATGGAGTCCGTTTCTGCAACTGGAACAATATACAGACGATTCCCTCGGCAGTCATAGGCAATGACTCATAGCGCATGGGGCCACAATTTATTCCTATCTAAGGGTATTTCAATCCATGAATGTACCACAAAAATGGATCCAAGTATTATCTTTAGTTTGGAACAGTGCACAAAATTTACTACTGGAGACTAATGCCGTGCGTTGCCCGGGAAGCTCTGGATATTTTTGCGTTAAAATAAAAAAAAATGATAAAAAAGCAACATTAAAAATGTGCTTTCTAAAAACTGTTTTTAAAAAGGTTTTTTTTTAAGTCTACTAGAGGAGTCTAGCTAGGTGCTTGTTGGCTATGCGAAAAAGTAATACATGAGATGAGGCAGAAGCTTATTTCCTTAATACCGGCGTCCGTTTAAAGCGAAATGCCCCCAACAAGCAGGAAAACTATAATATACTTATTATCTCCGCTCTATGCAGTGTTGGCAGTAAAAATATCGAAGGATTTTTATTCAAAAAAATAAAATAAAATAAAAATAAAGTACATTTTTATTTTTATTTTACTCAGAAAACCCAATAATTGAATATGAATTAGTGTAGTCTCTCCAGATGGATTACTATGGATGCTCGATTAGAAGCCTCTTTCCCAGGTGTGCTTCAGAACGCCGTATGCGCCTAACCGATGTCTCCGTCGATGTATCGAGCGGAGTTTCCGACGAAGTAGCGCGCACTGGAGGTGACGACCGGCTTGAGTCTGCAGTTATCAAGACGGTTAGGTTTTGCTAGGCGCAGCCACCGTGAGCGTGCTGTATCTGCTGCTGCACTCGGCCACGTTCCCGCGTCAAGCGCCGCATGGCCGACATGCGTCTGAGCGGCATCGCGCTCGCTGACTTGACTTGCTCGAGGCACTCAAGCAGCTCCGCCGCGCCTCGTACTTCACGCGCTACTGGCAGGAAGAGCAGGACGCCTCCGAGAGCCGCTACGACCCCGCGGGCCTGCTGCTGACGCTGCTCGCGCTCTTCTGCTTCTTCATGTCCGGGTACTGGATCGCCAACCTGTCGCTGCTCATGCGGCTGGGCAATCTGGAGACGCTGCATGTGCGGCGCAGTCTGCTGCTGTCGGGGTTAGCCTCGCTCGTCTACGGCTGCATGCACGCCGTGCTGCCCACACTGCGCGACGACGCGTCCGCGGCATACAAGGTCACGGCGGCGCTGGTGCTGGTGATGCAGGCCACGCCGCCGCTCATCATCCTCGTCAACTTGCGCGGCATTAAGCGTTCAATGCTCAACGCGTCCGTGCAGGGCCGCAACGTCATCCGCAGGTGCACGGGTTGCTACGTGTGCGCGGCAGTGTTCACGCTTCCCTTCACGCTCGTGTTCGTCCTCAGGACCGTGGGGGCCGTGGCGGAGACGACGAACTACCTGCTGCTCATTGCCAGCGCGCTGCTCTACGGCACGATTCTGAGCTGCAATTGCTACTGTACGACGACGGAGACGACGGTGCAGCCCCCGCAGGAGATCAATGTCGTCGACGACGACACCACGTCGTCATCTGTCGACGGATCGCCTGAAGTGCTGACAGATGGAGCCGCGATGCCCGGCAGCACGGCTTATATTGGCCTCGCTTCCGGCAGCGTGCTTGGGATCAGGGGCGGACTGCTGGCTGGAGATTTCATCGCCGGAATGGTAACACAGAGCCTCGCCGTGAAGATCGGAGAAGGCTCCAGTGCAATGGTGTAGAAGGTACAGTGGCTGGGGATCACTGTCGCGCTGAAGTGTCTACGCTTCCAAGCTGCATGGGGGGGGGGTCAAGCTCTACATGACGCTCTTGGTGGAGCGGCGGTGCTCGGTGCTCAGCTGCGGCACCCGAACATCACGTTGTTCTTTAAGATGGACACATACAAGGGCAGCTTGTGCCTCGTCAA